ATGGCATGATTGATGTTGTCAATACAACCACAGAGTGAGTAGTAATTCTACTTTATCAGTGTTAGATCTACTTCTGCTAACAGAAATGAAGATGGAGTTTATGAAAGAATAAAGGATGATCAGGTTTATGAACAATTAGATGAACCTGATCTGCTTGTAGCAAGAGAAAGTGCTGCTGACACAAGTAGCACAAAATATAAAAATACTACTGTGCCTATTGTTAAAGGTATGACTATAATTCTGTTACTTATTAGCACTACATATCTATCATGCATATAATTTATTATTTTAGCCAGACTAAGTAGCACAACATATGAGAATACTACTGCTCCTCTTGGTAAAGGTAATATTATTGGTTGCTACATATCTATCATGCATACTTTATTCTGCTAATTAGAGTCTACTACCTTTCATGAAACAGAAAATGAAGAATGTGTGTATGAACTAACTGATACCTCATAGTAACTTTTTTTGGTGTGCATTTACCAAGCAAATTTTATAAATTTGCTGCATAATAAATCTTTATACATTATAATAGTTCAGTTTGATTCATAGGTCTAAAAGTAATTTTCGCTTACACTGGTGAAGCTCTAGCCTGACCAATCACACAAACCCATTGAAATAACTTACAACCAGTTGTGTTATAGTTCTTTTATAGACACTAGATTTGATCTACGTAAGCATCTGTTGTGCATAAGTTGCCTTGCCAGAAATTGATACTTTGATAGTTCAATGTAACTAAACATTTTACTGGATGCTGTTGACAAAAAATAAACAAAATTCAATAAAAGTATAATACCGTATAGCTGGTTTATTTCGTGTGGAATTAATTTTCGTGCAGGCTCAAATCCACTAAAATTAATTCCATTAAATTTTATTAAAACCAATTAAATGTTAACAAAAAATTAGCAAGGCACTAAAATTAATTTCAATGAAAACTTAAGCAACAAAAATTTGAGGCCACAAAATAAACCAGCTATACAGTAATTGAATTTATGTATCAAAGCTCCAGTCAAGATCATTTGGTTCATCTGGCCGATTGAGAAGAAGTGATAGACCTAGGTGTGGTTTTAGGGGTAGCCATATGAGACAGGTCATCATTGAGATGTGATGAATTCAGTATAATTTTCTGTGTATTGAGGGAGAGAAAGTTTAGTACTAGTAAAAAAAGTATCAATACCTTGTTGGGTGAAGCCCTTGCTAAAATGACAAAACATACCACATTCCACAACAAATTGCATGTGAGCAGTTGCTTGTAAGGCTAATACAATGTAAACTGGAGTCTGTTAGTTGTGTGTGTGTGTTCTATAACTGACCGGTCCCATTCCTCATTATAACTATCATGTAGACTACCTTTCTTATTTTTTGAAATGGCACCAAGTAAGAGTAATACACCATGGAATTTTATCACTGTATCCTTCTTTTTTCTTCTTTCTATTTTTGCTCTTTTTTCTCTTTATTTCTATTTTATAGCATACAATAATAATATAAAGACATGCATGCTTGCTATTGCTATTCCAACATGCATTCAATCATTATTCTTGTTGTATTGTAGTATTGATTGTAGTAGTACACAAAATAATGTAAGGAGAGATAGGAATAAGGGATGGAGAGAGAAATTAAGGTGGGAAAGGAAAATGAGAGAAAAGAGCTAACGATAGAAATTAATTTAGAAGCAAAAGGGTAAGAGGTATACCCCAATACATGTGCATTTTTATCCATTCATTGTCATTTGTATTAAAATCTTGTTCTTTCCTCATTCTTATACATATGTAGATCTTGTGTCCCTAAGTCAACCAGTGTGACTAATGTGCATGGTATGAAAGGAAAGGTTTGATATGTTGATGATCCTGATGGTCCTTCTAATGGAGATGATGATACACGATCAGGTGAAGGATCTAGTCACACTGATGGTTCTTAGTATTCTAACTATAATAGTATAGACCTACCACAGCATGGAGAGATATAATGTGACCAGTGACTAATGTTTTAATGCTACTAAAAATTCTGTATGTTTTGTTGCATTATACTCATTAAAAAGTGGGTGAGAGTGTATAAATGTCAATTTTGCACTTACTGAAGATTGTGTTGATAGTTAAAATGGTTAATGTAGTGTTGTTGTATTTGTTCACAATGTCAACATGTGTAGGAGTGGAGCAAAGCTAAAGTGCTCACTTTGTCTGTGTGCTTGTCTGCTTGAGCTCTGCCTTTGAGCTATGTAACTGCTTTTTTGTAAAATACTGCAAGACACCTTGGTTTCAGTATAAAAAAGTTATACCTCTAAAAATTAACATCCTAATTATGTTCTATTTCCCTTATACAATATGCATTTTATCTCAGTTATGCTGTGATGCACTGATAATGGAAGAATGTTGACATAATGCCGACTAACCACTGTTTTTCTTTACCTTATGTGTAAAACACACACATGCTTCAAGTATATTAATTAAGACAAGGAAGAGTGTTAACATTACTATGAATTCTAAGCTACATTTATTATACTGCCCATTATACCAATAAATCATAGAGCACAACAGAAGATCCAACTGAGGGCTTGAAGTTATGTCATAGTGTACTCAACCACACAGCCCAACTACAGTATGCATATGTACATTCATCCAGCTATGTAGCATGATGTAACTCTACTTATAAAAATACATATGAATTTAAAAAGTATAGCACTGCAATGAACATTAGTCTACACAATTGCTTTATCAGTTTGTGTTAATATTCATTATTTCGTATCAGTTATGCTAAGAAGCAGTGATAATGCATCTATGTTGACATATTGCTAATAAATGTTATTGTTTTACATTTACAATATACTTTTATAGAGCTACAATTTTCTTCTTTCATCACTAAACATGATGTCCTTGCTGTTTCTTTTATCATTGGTACTTCATGTATCATGTCAAGAGTTTAGTTCATTTACTCCATGTCCAACACCTGGTCAGTATTATATTTTCATTACAATTAACATGTACCCTATGTATGTTTTATTCATTGTTTTCCATAGTACCAGATCCTTCAGTTATTGTTGAGTATGATGCTACTGGACATTTAGTAGATGGAGAACTAGCAGAAGGACAGTTTCTTGATATTATTTGTATAGCTGACATCAGTCAATATATTGATACTAGTGTTAGTGTTACTATGAGTTGGAGGAGAAATAACACTGTACTGACCAATGGAAGTGATTTTACTATTAGTCCTCCAGTTATGACTAATAATCAGTACACTGGAGTATTACATATTAATAGTTTAAGAGATGAGCTTGATAATGGTGCTAGTTATAATTGTTCAGCTAGTGTGACTCCTAATACTCCTATCATAATAGCAGGGAATGATAATAGCAGTGCAGTTACATTAACTGTAGCAAGTAAGTGAATTTATTCATATTTTATCACATTTGCCATTATATTTTGATAGGGTTTGACATCAATCATGTTGCTGTTAGTATCAACATTCCTTTTGTTCCTGTTGCTGGTGATGTATTCAATTTATCTTGCGTCATAGTTGTACCTCCTAATTTTGTTGAGAATCTTACTAGTGTCAGATGGACTTATGATTTAGAAGCATTTCAAGATGTGACTAGTGAAAACAATGATGCTACACTAGTACCTGTTGTTAGAGATAGAAATATATTCACCAGTGTACTTACACTTGATCCAGTGAAGACAACTGATGCTAGACAATATTACTGTCAAGCAGCAATTGCTGTTTTTGGTATTGTAGATCGAACAAACAGAGATTTCACTGTTCAAGGTTAGTTTTAATTATTATTATTTGAAATAATAATATTCTTTTACAGTACCTCCTCCCAGTGTATCAATAGTTGCTGATCCTCCAACTGGTCCAATATATGAGAGTACAGGTTACTTTCTAACCTGTACAGCTACAGTAAACACTACAATAGTGGATACACCAGTAACTGCTAGTGTAGTATGGACTGATCCTAGTGGTAATGTGATACCAACTAATGAAACAAGATGTCGAGTGATACCTCCAACTAGTAACAGTCTTGTAAGCATGCTATTGTTTCAACCTATTGATACTGGTCAAAATAATGATGGAGGAACATATACCTGTCAAATGATCATCAATTCTGGTAGCTCATTACTAGCATCAAGTCAAGCTACTAATACTACCCTTGATGTTACAGTTGAAAGTAAATTATTATATACTGCTCCTCTATTGCCTATAATTCTCTCCTCTCAATCTCTTTTGCATGTATGTTATTTTTTATCCTCTGTCTCTACACAAATACACACATTTTCTTCTTCCTTATTCTGTCTTTCACTATAGGTCTTCCTCCAATGACAGTAGATTTTTCATCAGATGGTTCAGTTGAAGTTGGTCAGAGTCTAACTATAACATGTACCATAATAACAGTTGAGAGATTAGTAGTAACACCATTAATTTCTTTCTTTAAATTGAATAATACAGATATAGATGTGCTCTCAAATTTAAATAGACCATACAGTATCACAATAGATGAAACTGGTTCAGTTACTAACTATACTCTAATACTGGATCCAGTGAGGTTTGAAGATGCTGGAATGTATACGTGTATGGCTGAGTTTAATGTAACTGGTTTTAATAACACTGATGATCCTACCACTGCTACTTATGACTATCAAGAGGCTAATGATGTCTTTAATTTGACAGTTGAGTGTAAGTTAACATTATGGTAGGTTAGTTTTCAAATAATGAATTTATTTTTAGTATTAAATTTTTAAATTATACATATGCTTCTAATTATCTATTTATTATTTTTTTATAGTTCCACCAGTGATTGTTACTATATCAAAGGAACGTGATGATACATTATATGCAGGGACATCATTCTTCATTAAATGTGACATAATGTTAGATCCTTTAGTTACTATACCAGTGACTGTCACTAATCAATGGACACGTGATGGTACTAATGTTCCTATGGGTTCATCTGATGCTACTATTACTGAGGGTCTCAATATGATCAATACATTACATTATAATGCAACATTAATGTTCTATCCATTGGATAATGCTGATGATAGTGGAATGTATACTTGCAATGTTGAAGTGACTGCTCCTAATAGTTACACATATCTCATGAATACATCAACTAATGCTAATTCTTCTATTACAGTGATGGGTAAGTAGGTGTTTGCTGTATACATTACCAAGAGTACAGTACCAAGCAGTACATCATAGTACAGTATATGCAAAGCCTAATACAGTTTTCTTGGTTCACTTTTTATTTTTGAAGTCTTACTAGTACCACTAGTCTATTTGAAACTTTTATGCGATTGCTAAGTAATAATGTCATTTAGCATTTCCAATTCCTCACTCTTCCTAATTGTTTTATCATAATCCATTCTTTATTGTTTCCATAATTCATTCTTAATATTTTTCTCTTCTATTTTTCCCTCCTTTCCCTCATTACAGCTACTCCAAGTCCAGTAGTAGAGATAGTAACTATGGGTATCGCCGAACCTGGTGAAGAATACATGTTAAATTGTACAGTGACAGTTGTTGATAGACTCATAGTCTCACCAGTAATAACATGGACTAAGAGATCAGTTAACAAGGTTATTAGTGTATCTCCAGTTCTTATGACTATATCTAATGTAAAGAGTTCTCTTTATTTGAACTTCTCTTCTCTCAATACTTCTGATGCTGGTCTGTATACTTGTGAAGCATCCATTAATGTTAGTCAAATATCCATGGTAGCAAGGAATAATGACACATCAAACTTACCATTAGAAAGTAGGCACATACAATAGTAATTAGCATTTCATTATTGTGCTATACTGTACTATGTAGATTGCAATATGGTGTGTGCCACTATGTATCATGCATATACTGAATTCCTTCATTATAATGTATTAAATTTAAATAGATTAAATTTGTTATTATTAAAGCAGGCATTATAGTGATAAGCTTACCAGCATGTATACATTGCACATGTAGCAATTGCTAGATATGCTATTTATGCAGTGATTGTGTGTCCTTGCTATTGTATTATTCTAGTTTTCTTTTTTGGTTACAATGTTTACTTACTCCTTTTAATAATTTATTTTATTTTAGTTCCCATTCCATCTGTTGATGTAAGCCAGTCAAGGGAAAATTATTTATTAGCTGGCAGTAACCTGGTACTAACATGTGATACCAGTGTTGATCCTAACGTTGATACATCATTCACTGTTAATGTAGCCTGGAGCATGACTGATCAGCAAATCATGAGTAGTGGTGATTTCAAAGATGAGAGTGATACTAATTCAGTGATACTCGCTGATACAGATCGTGTTAACATCAGCTCTGTTATGATGAGATCAGGTTTTAATGAGTATAGATCAACTGTTAATTTCATCACATTGAGCAGTATTGAGGATTCAGGAACATATACATGTATTGTTACTATAGTACCAGCTCCAGCTTATGAATATGTTATGACTTCTGATACTAATAATATGAATGTTAAGTTAACTGTTACTGGTAAGTGTTTATGTGCATGTTTTGTGCATGCATGTATGTGTACACATTTATGTAATGTACAATATAGTACTTGTAATATGATTTTTTGTAATTGGTAGTGATCCCTTATACTGTGTCAAATGTTTGAGCCAATTTCAATTCTTAGCGTTCAAATTTTATTAAAGACCCTATAGACTATAAAATAACTACTTTTATCTTTATACATTTTGATGCTCAAAATTTTGCTCAATGATCATGTTGTGTACTTTGTATTTGATTAATGATAATTTTCAATAGATCCAATGATTGGAAGTTTTTCTGCCTCCCCCAATTCATTTCTGGGTCTGGAGACGTCATGTCCTGATTCAGACCCATATGATAACTTCACTCTTACCTGTAGAGCCACTAAACCAACCATAGTAATACCAAACCTGGTAATAGCATGGACACACAATGGTACACTAGAAACTGGTACTGTGACTACTACTGGAAAGAGTATGACTACCGCTGTTACAAATACATTGAGTTTTGACTCCAGTACTGCTTCTAATTCTGGTACTTATAAATGTACTGCTAGTATTACTATACCTGATTCAACTGATATCACTACTAGTGAGGAAAGCACTGTGACTATAAGATGTAAGTGGCTATAATAACTATATATGTACTATAAATAATTAAATACAATGCACAGTAATTATAATGAGCTTTTAATGTGATGTGATCTGCACATGCCATATGTTTTTCCTTACAATTCTACCTCCTTCCTTTTTTCTTCTCTCCTTTTTACCCTATTTTTTCCTTAGCTCAAAGCCTGCCTGTTCCTGCTACTAATGTCAAGGTAACTCCAGGAACAACTACTGCTGCTATATCATTCATAATACCTAACATTGCCTATACACCTGAAACCTACAGTGTTAAGTATACTGGAGCAATCTTACAAACAACACAAGCAACTTCTATAATAAGAATGAGCTCCAGTAACATCACTGCAATTAATGAAGAATTTATGATCATGTTGACTGGCCTTGAGGAAGATAATACTTATGCATATACAGTTGATTCTACGAATTGTCTTGGTACTACTAGTACTGTAGAGATGAGCTTCAGAACACTCCAAGCATGTGAGTGGAAATTGATAATTATTTCATTACTTTTTTATTTGTTTTGCATTATTCTCTAATTTAAATTACAGTACCAAATGCTTTTCCAGTGGATTGTGCTAACGTAACATTCTTATCAAGTAATGTCACACTTGCCTGGACTGCACCAGCACTAGTAGGTCATAATGGAGCACCAGTTGGTTATAATTTAGCATGCATGAGTACTAATGGTGTAACAGTCAATGGATTGAGGCCAACACAATCTTCAACGAACACAATGTTCACTATTACTGATGTTATGCCTTTTACTGGTTACACTTGTGATCTGTCATTTATTAATGTAGTAGGACAAGGGCCTTCTACCCAGTGTACTTTTGAAACAGCACAAGATAGTAAGTATACACTTGATATTACACATTAGTAAAGCTAGGTTTATATTCAACAAAACAACCAAAAATTTTAAACTTGCATTTATTTGAGTTGCGTTTTATGGTGAATATGAACCATGCAGGCTTATTTCCATTCACTTTCTCTTTTACACTTCTATTAGAACCAAGTGATAGTCCTCAAAATTTCACTTCAACTACTAATAAAGCAGTAGTTACTCTTACATGGACTAAGCCAGCTATTCCTAATGGAATAATTATCAAATACTCATTGAACGTCATCAACCAGAATACTCTGAGAAGGCATAACTATACAATACTTGTAGCTGTCAATCATACTACAATGACACACTCAGTTGATGGTTTCAGTCCATATCAGAATTACACTGCTAGTGTTAGTGCTAGTACAATCATTGGAGCTGGACCAGTGGCTACTACTGCCGGAAGAACACTACCAGACAGTAAGTATATTATTATGATACATTTATTAAAATACAATACACAGTTCCTAGCTCACCTCATCTGGTTGTGTCTCCAGTTGTCATTAATAATTTAACAGTAGCTTATACTGTACCAGTCCTTGATGAAACTACTATTAATATAACATGGAGTCTACCATCTCATCCTAATGGAGAACTCACTGGATTCATTGTTAGAATAGCTACTGATGCTATTATTAGTCCCAATAATGTTCCATTTGAACCTGGCAAAGCAGTACACACACTAATATTTAAAGGATTAAGTAAGTAAATACATATATTTTATATTCATTGCATTATTATACATTTTTACAGAGGGAATGATACCTTATTATATTTCAGTTGTAGCAGTCAATCAAGTTGGTGAGGGGAACTTAGTAGCAACATTAACTGCAATTGTCTTCACTAAAGCTGACAGTAAAATATTACATATAATGTTAGATCTACTTTATGTGCAGGTAGTGTTACTGTATCACCATCAAATGTACAAGCCATGAGAGTAGGAGATACAATAGTGTTATCATGGGATCCAGTGACACTAGAAGAAGCTAAAGGATTCTTTGTATACAGTATCAGATCAACTCCTGATGATGGTAGCACTAGCAGTACATTAAGACAAACTAATACAAGAACTATATCAGTAGCTTATGATACCACATCAGTTAATATAACTGATACTGAACCACAGTTAGCTTATACTGTGAATATTAGTATATTGCTATTGAGCAATGCAGGATTAATTGAAGGACCAGTTGTAAGTGAGATTGTACCAGGTTAGTAAAAATTACTGTAAATAATTTATCTTTATATAAGCTATTATACAGTGCCTCCATCAAACAGTACTACTAGTGCAGGTACCACTACTACTAGTACTGATTCTACATCAAGTGCACCAGTGATATCAGCAATAGTTTCAGTTTTGCTTATAATAGTTGCTTTAGTGATAATTTTTGTTAGTGTAATTTTTATAATAATTTTTAGAAAAAAATCAAAGAAATATAATATCAGGTATATAATGCATGGGAAGCTTAATCATTATTAATGCATGCATGTATTAACTTATGTTTAATAGCAGTAAAACTCATGACATTGATGTAACACCTAATGCAGGCTATGGTATGATTAATGTTGTCAATACAACCACAGAGTGAGTAACAATGCAAAATACAATTCATCAGTGTTACATCTACTTCCGTAACAGAAATGAAGATGGACTTTATGAAAGAATGGGAGATGATCAGGTTTATGAACAAGTAGATGAACCTGATCTGCTTGTTGCAAGAGAAAGTGCTGCTGACACAACTAGTACATCATATGAAAATACTACTGTGCCTATTGTTAAAGGTATATCTATTACTATAATTGTTAGTTGCTACATATCATGCATACTTTATTCTGCTGATTAGAGTCTCCATCTACTAGCCTTCATGAAATAGAAAATGAAGAGCATGTGCATGAGCTGACTGATACTTTGTAACTTGTTATTAGTGTGTGTACTGAGCAGTTTTTTTATTAATGTGCTGCATATAATTAAACAGTTCGGTTTGATTGGTAGATCTAACAGTAATTCCTGCTTACACTGGTGAGGCTATATAGCCTGACCAATCACACAAACACAAAATGGAACCTATGCATCCATTGAAATAATTTTACAAAGACTTGTGATTCTACCTCATCTATTGTGCATAAGTTGCTTTGCCAAATATTGATACTTTGATTGATGAACTGTACATGCATAATAACATGTTTGATCTCGTCTTTTTTCTCTTTTTACTGTGCATATTATCTTTCTTATTATTTGGAATGGTTCCAAGAAAGAGTATACACCATGCAATTTTATCATTGTACCCTTCTTTGTCCCTCTTTCTATTTTTGATCTTACCTGGCAGTTGATGATAATAATACTAGGACACGTGTACTTGCTATTGTTATTTCAACAGTCATTATTCTTGTTGCATTGTGGTATCAATTGTAATAGTACACAGAAATGTGAGGAGAAAGAGGAATAAGGGCTGGAGAGAGAAAGGTGGGAAAGAAAAATGAAAGACAAGAACTTTTGATAGACATTATATTAAGAGACAAGACGGTAAGAGATTTACCCCAGTAGATGTGCTTGTTTATCCATTCATTGTCATTTGTATTAGAATCTTGTTCCTTCCTCATTCTTGTACATATGTAGACCTTGTGACCCTAAGTCAACCAGTGAGACTAATATGCATGGCATAAAAGGGAAGGTTTATTATGTTGATGATACTGATGGTCCTGCTAATGGAGGTGATGATGATATAGGATCAGGTGAAGGGTCTGTTCACACTGATGGCTCTTAGTATTCTAACTATAATAGTATAGACATACCACAGCATAGAAGGACATTATTGAATAAATGACTCCATTTGTCTTTAATTTTCAGTTTTTGTTGTCTTTTGTTTCCTACAAAATTTTACAGTATAATGTATTTGACAAAACAGTTTATGCACACCTACACTGTGTTATGTTTCGATGTTCATGTAGTTTAAAATTCTTGTGATATGCACATACATGTGTACACACATGCATAGCTTGCTGCCTATTTTCATTAGCCACAACCAATTAAACAAAAGGCAGACCTACTTGAGAGCCAAGCCAGTGCAAGTCAATGGATGTGAAGTTGTAAAATTGGTGACTTAACAAAATGCGATTAATGCTGTGATGTATCTAAAACATGTTAAATACCAAATACTTGTGTTAAGCCTATAACCTTTAATGACTAGATCTATAATAATTTAGCTTATCAACTCATGTTAACCATGTTTACCATAATGTTTATGGTATACATGTGTATACTTTTGACTTTTTAGAATTAATACATGTTTGTCAATGTTGCTTACAAGATATTTAGTAACGATAGCAATAATCTTAATCCCTTTTATTAATGACTGATGTCTAAACCTCATCTTGTTTGCATATTCCTCTTCCTTTATGCAAGTTATGATAAGATGCAGTGATTAATGCTGACATGAATAAACATTGTTGTTCTTTACTTTATTGAGTGTTATTGTTTTATATAGATAAAGCTCTGGTTATACTGAGAGATTCCTTTCCTTCAAAACTTGTTTTGCACAACAAATCTGTTTTGGCCTAAAGAATATTGGTCTAAGAAAGATATGATGCTCTGGGTATTTTTCTTATTTTTACTGCATTATGTATCTGGTCAAGGGTTTGGTTCTCTTCCTCCTCTTCCAACTACTGGTCAGTATTAATGTTTATATATCATTAATGATTACAGTCTATTTCATATATAGATGTCAGATTGTTTCTTGGTGAGGAAAATGTGACCATTGCTAATTTCTCAATGATAGCTGGTGGTCTGTTTCATGATATAGATTTTGATAGTCCTGATGGTATTGCTACTAATAGTGCTATTGGCGCTGATGGTCAGAATGATGGTTTGTGGTGTCAGAGTTCTCTTAATCAGAATATGATAGGGACATGGTATTATCCTGATGGAACAACTGTACCATTGGGTTCTGGTAGTCCTCTGCTTGCTAACAACACTGCTACTGGTCAAATTGGTTTGTTAAGAAATGGAGAAATAGGAAGTATTCAAGGACTATACAGTTGTGTTATACCAAATGAAGATGGAATCAATCAGACACTGTATATTGCTGCTTATGGTAATGGGGATTTCTATAAAGATCATGGTGAGCAAGTTCAATTTAATATTGCATAATTTATCCTTTTCATCATGTACAGAACTTCCAATGATTGATGGTAGTAGTCTCTCCTTCCAGCTCCTTTCATCAGTTGATGCTGATCCTCCAATGTTTAGTTTATCATTTAATGTCACTAACAGATCACCAACAATAGTCACTTGCTCTGTTGATAATGGAAATCAGTTCAATGTAACTGATAATGATCTGATACGTACTGTAACACCAGTTGATAATGATGTACAAGTACAAGTATTAATAATATTTAGAATGAGAGTGTCTGGTCTGTATAAATGTTCTGTTACTTCTGATAGAATTACAACTACACCTTTAGTATCTGCTACCATGGCCGTAAGGAATATTACTGGTTAGTATATACATTATATAACTATTTTTTTATCATAATTATTTTCATTGTGTCTTTCTAAAGTAACTGAATCTCCATCAAACTTCACCTACAGCAGAGATAGTCTTCTCTCAGTTACACTGGATTGGTCTCCCTCAGCAATGATTAGTGTTACTCCTCATTATCATGTTTTTGTTAATGTCAGTAATGGCATTATTATTATGAATGATGACACTACAAATACTGAGCTGTTTTTCTCATTACGTCCTGATAATGAATATAATATTATACTAGTAGCTACTGGTGAAGACTTACCCAGTGAAATAATCACTGTTACTGTTCCTCAAGGTAGATTTATTTTTATTTATTTTTATAAATCTTTTTCTAGTTGTCAGTATTGATATACAAGGGCCAGTTATGATGCCATTGGATCATTCTTCTTCCTTTTCATTAACCTGTACATTGACATTAGATCCTGAAGTGAATGATACTATGATAGAAATGTTCTGGACAAATCCTGATCTCATTCTCTTTAATTCTACAACTGACGGAGACATAGTTTTGAATACTTTAGAGCCTACAATGATATCAGCTATTGATAGTGTTGTATATACACTTACTCTTAACTTTAGTTCATTACAAGCATCTCAAGTTGGAAAATATGTTTGTGAGGCTCTACTCAATGATGGTTTTGATGCTATTAGTGTAACATCAAATTATTCTGTATCTGTGCAAGGTAATTATTAAATTCTCATTCCTTTTTATATTTTTATTCATATTATGTAGTGCCTACTCCTGTTGTTATATCCAGTGTTGATACAAAAGGACGTATTTTTGAGAGCAATGATGTTCAGTTATTATGTTTTGTCACTATTACTCCACTGGATGTTAATCATACTGTTAGCATTAACTGGTTTGGGCCTAATGGACTCATTACAATGAATGATACTTGGTATGACATTAGTGCTGAGATAATCAACTCGACAAATTGTGAGAGTAATTTAACCTTCAATGCATCTCTATCAGATAATGGAACAGATTACTATTGCACTGCTAGTGTTGGACCTGCTAGTAATGTGAATGGGTTTGAACTGATAATACCATCAGATATTGCTACATCAACTAATAACACAATTACTGTGGAAAGTAAGTTAGCTATAAAATAAAATTAATATTATTTCTCTTTTAGTTGTACCACTACCAACAGTTTTAAGTAATGGCAATGGTATTCCAGTAACAGGAGATTCATTCCAGTTAGTGTGTACTGGAACTGCACCAGCTAATGTATCAAGTATTGCTACTGTTAGTGTTCAATGGCTTCTTGATAGTACTGTGTTTACTAATGATACACTGGAAGGAGTCACTGTTACCAATAGTGGGTCTATAGCTACATTATCATTCAGTTCTCTAAATGCTTCTACTCATGAAAGAGATAATTATACTTGTGTAGCTATTCTTAGTATTCCTGATGTACCAGCAACTAAAACAGCAAGCACTAGTCACAACCTCCTGACATTAAGTAAGTAGATCTATGGAATTATATAAATTAAAGTATTTATTCTACCTCTATTGTTAGCTAATCCTATTGTGTCTATATCTTCAAATCCTCCTGTTTTTGCTGATCAATTGTATTCATTAAACTGTACTGTCATAATAGTAGCTGGAGACCTCAATATAACATGGTTTAATAGCAGTGGAAATGAATTCGTAGAAGGAAATGGGATAAGTTTCAATTTAGTTATTGTTTCTGAAACTATTCAAAAATATGATTTGATATTTAACTCACTTGACTATTCAAATATTGGAGTATATACTTGTCAAGCTGGTCTTACAGTTGACAGAGATAATGTTTCCTTTAATGGGTTTGGATCTGCTAATACCACTGTTGACATAATAAGTAAGTTAAATTTACTATTTTACAATTTAACTTATTTTTGTTTCCTATAGTACCTTTACCACAAGTATCTATTTCTCCTGATGATAATTCTACTTTTATTTATGGAACTGTTAGAACTGTTAGCTGTTCTGTTGTTTTCACTCCTCCTTTACCTACTAATCCTAATGTCTCATTTACTGTCTTCAAAGATGGTGATAAAGTATTATTTGAAAACA